GGGATGTTAAGCAGGAGGGGATGGACAAAGGAACTCACAACACAAACGCCATTGGGGCCGGCTCCAAGCCATATCAGCAAGTGTGTCCAACCAAACGTGTTCACCGTCCTTAGGACCCCAGCCAGGCAGTCGGGATACACCAACCGACGCCAACTTCGAAGTGAGGGTTTTCATTTCTCTCGACCAAGTCATCACTTGGCCTCCCCTCCTCCTCTTCCAACCACACTCACAACGCGCAAACAATGCACGTCGCGGGAGTCGGTGTGCTGGCATGCGCAACACGTGGCCCAACCATCGGAGCCTGGTGCGTGATATAATGGTGCTGAGCGGTTCACTCGCTCTTCCTGCACCAAACACGCGATGCCGAACACGCTCATTGCTCACGCGGTGCTCTCACCAGACATGAGCTAAGCTGCGAAGGCAGCGATGATCGAATATGACGAGCCTCTTCATGTCTGTCGACCTGATGGGCCAGGTTTCACAACCATATAGGAGAGTTGAACGGACGGCTGCGTTGTAAACTCTGCCCTTCAGGGCGAGAGTAATGTCGCGTCTGCGCCACAGGTGGCGGAGATTGGCAAAAGCACCTCGAGCTTTTGCTATACGGTTCGTAACCTCATCTTCAATCCCACGGGTGCTAATATAGCTGCCCAGGTACTTGAATTCCTGAACGACTTCTAGCAGATCACCACCAAGCATTAGCGCAGGGTTGGGTCCCTGCCAATCTTGGAGAAGTACTTTGCATTTCGATGGAGCAAAGCATAGCCCAAAACGATGGACAGCCAGTGCTAATCGGTCCAGTGCTATTTGGCATGTTTGGGAGCTGTCACAGATTAGGGCTACATCGTCCGCATACTCCAAGTCAAGAAGTCGCTCACCAGGAAGTAGCTCCACACCTTCTAGGTCGTGTCCAGCGAACGCTGTTTCCATGACTTCATCAATAGCGAAGTTGAAGAGGAAAGGTGACAGCGGGCATCCTTGTCTCACACCGCTGGTGATACTGAAGGGTGGCGAGAGTTTGCCATAAACCCTCACCCTGCCCGAACTATGCGCGTACAGCGCTTTGATAATGTTTACATATTTATCAGGCACACCTTTCCTCAACAGAGAGTCCCAAAGGGCACATCGATCGACTGAGTCGAAGGCACCTTTTATGTCAAGAAACACGACAACGGTGGGTCGCCAATAAACATGGCGGTGCTCCAACACTTGACGCAAGGTGAAGATGTGGTCGATGCAGCCACGACCCCGACGAAATCCGGCCTGCTCTTCACGAATCTGGCTTTCACGAGTGCCAGTCAGTCTGTGGAGAATGATAGAGGCAAGCAATTTAGAGGCAATCGAAATCAGACTGATCCCTCTGTGATTGCTGCATTTCAAACGAGAGCCTCCCTTGAAAATTGGGACAATGACGGAGCGGTTCCAGTCTATCGGGACTGTCTCCTGCTCCCAAGGCTTAACTAGCAACTCGTGTAAATCATCTACTAGAGCAGGTCCCCCGAATTTGAAGAGGGCTGGGGGAATTCTATCTGCTCCTGCGGCCTTATGCAATTTCAGCAGCCTGATCTCACGTTCGACTTCTGCGCGTGATGGCGGATCCAAGGAGACGGCCCAGGGAGAAGGGCGCTCAATGCCCGAAGAAGAAAGCGATAACTCAGGCTGGTTAAATTGCCTTGCAAAGTGTTCAGCCCATCGCTCCAAGCGTTTCGACAGACCGTGGATCGGCTGCCCACTCTCGTCGCGTATGGTCTCGCTAACACCAGGTCTCCTGCTGCCTGTTTCCCGTATCAGACGGAATAACTTACAATGATTACCAACGGCAGCGGCTGTTTCCATTTCCGATGCACGATGAGACCACCAGGTTTCGCGGTCCTTCTTCAGGCTAGCACGTAGTTTGGCCCTGACATTTTTGAGAGCCTCATTGTATTCGTTTCCAGCCGGAATACGTCGGCGAGCATCCATAAGTTCCATAGACTGAGTAGAGACCCAATGTCCGGTTTGGAAATTTGCTTTGCCACATGAAGACATGTCTGCTAACAGCAACGCTTGACGAATGTGCGACCAGTGATCTTCAACGGTGTTTAGTGGACGCTTACTCAGTCCAGATGTCAGCGCACTTTGGTACACATTCAGAACATCTGGCTTCGCCAACTGGCTGGTGTCAATCCGTTCGCTTCGACGTTGCGGACGTCCACCGAAACGCACCAGGAGATCGGCACAGACAAGTGCGTGGTCAGAGTCCACGCTAGTGCTCCAAATCGAGCGACAGTTTTGGACACAGCCTCTCCAGCGGTAACTGATCGCGATATGATCGATTTGCGTCTATGGCTGGCCCGAGGCTGGTGGCCGCCAAGTCACGCTTCTGCGGGTGCTGTGTCGAAAGTTAGTGCTCGCGAGAAAGAGGCGAGCATCCTCACACAGCTGTAGCTCACCATTATCATTACGCGAGCCTACACCATGTTGGCCGCCCAGATGAAGCTCATCAGAGGACAATTTTCCGACTTGGGCGTTTAGATCGCCAGCCAACACCACAGTATCCGTGCTTCTTCTGTAACGAAGGAGCTCGTAAAGTTGCTGATAGAAATCATCTTTTACCGAATCAGTGCTACAGTTTGTAGGGGCGTAAGCCGCAATGACAAACAGGCACCGTTTGTCCCCTCGCAACTTCGTAGCACGGAACGAACCAGCTAATCTAACGGCGCACATCCTACTGTTTACTGGTATCCAATCAATCAGGGCAGCTTTAGCCCAGGGACTCACAACAATGCCGACGCCAGCTTGACCGGCATTGGAAGCTGCATCATCGCCAGACAGGCGCAATGAGAATGTGCCGCCAGTGTCGCATATGGGGGATCGCAGGGTAAGCACGGAGCTCGAATCTTGCAGGCGGGTTTCTGATAAACAGCAAATATCGATCGATAGGGTCTCTAGTGTGCGGGCAAGTGCTGCCTGTTGGCCAATCTGTAGCAAAGTGCGCACGTTGAGGCATGCCAATCTTAGCGAGACACGAGGACTCCAAAAGGAAACGGATGAACTGACGTTGTCCGCTTGGTTGAACATGGACTTGTCGACTGGATTGGAGCGACGCAGTGCGATTGTGTGTGATTTGAAATTAGAAGACAAGCGACTATTGAAGTAAGCTGGGGGAGGGCCAAGAATTGGGGGACTGAAAATGGGGGGATATAAGTAAAGTTGGAGCGGGATGATAAGGATGAAGGAGCGCAAGAAGGGGTATAAGAAGACGGGAAGGCCTGAGCAGTAGCACCCATACCCTTATCCACCCTGCTCGATGCAGCAGATAGGACACCGTTGATTATCCTCTGCGGTGGCCAGAGCATCAAGAAATTGTTTGAAGTGAGATTCATAGTATTGCGTAGGCAGGATACTGTCAGGTTGCCCAGGCCTAGACAGGAGAACGATTAGGGTTCTCAACCAAAGCCTTTGGTTCAAAAACCTGACCGCAAGGCAGCGGGTTTGGCGTTGGGCTACAAGGAGTCCGTTTTAAGGAATAAGGTGCCACCCTCATTCTAACCCCCAACCTGGAGGACCAGGAGGCTGAGTTTGTCTGGCCTCTAACCATTGACCAATCTGGTATGAGTGGCACTGAAGGTGCAAAAAAAGCACCACCCAGCATAGCTCAATGGATCTCTGAGGCACGCAAACCATCGCACCACGGTAAGGTCCAGCCAAAGAACTCTGTATCAGTTTCATCGTGTACATGCTGGCATTAACGGAAGGAAAACGACCGTGCGAGGTTACGTTTACTGGCCAGATATTGACTCAGAGCTGGAGCGGCAAAACCGGGCCCGAAATGGGTGCTTTTCAGCGAGGCGCTCAGAAAAGCGCAACTGTCAACGAAACCCTGCAAGCGAATACATGCATATTTCGTTGATTGCACCTATCTTACTGTTGTTGACTCCTTCAGCAAGTGGCCTGAAGTGTTCCGCATAGAGCGTACAAGTGGCGCATTCTGAGAAGACTTTTCGCCCAGCATGTAATATCGGGGACCCTAATCACTCGATTAGCCTCTTCACAATTGTACGCAGAACGGAAGTACACATCCAAACTCGAAGCCGCTCCACCCCCAGTCCAGTAAACAAACGGAGCGCTTAGTGGACACGTTTAAACGGATGCTACTGTAGATGAGGGAGGAAAGGAACCACAAATTAGATATTGGATGTTTTTCTCCCACTGCACAGATAAACTCCGTACCCCAAGTGCCAAATCAGCTGTCCCCAACAGAAGCGTTAATGGGTAGAAAATTTCATTGCTTCCGAAGTGTGTCACCCCATAAGAAAGGAACGCAAGAATGGAAAAGTACTAAAATCGGTGACAGAGGACGCAATCACGTCTAGTACACGCAGGACAGCGTTTTAATCCGAGGCTAACGCAATGGGAAACCTGTGGACCACAGGCTCGATCGAGTGTAGACTTGGACTTGGGTGCCATGATTTCGATCAGACAAGCAAATGAGAAGCGGCCAACCGGCATTCAGATAAGTACCAGAGAACGATCGAAAAAGTGCAAAAGGGGGATAAGAAGACGAGAAGGCCTAAGCGGCGGCATCTTCACCTGTATCCACCCTGCTTAGTGCAGCAGGTAGGGTGCAGTTGGTCATCCTCTGCGTCAGCCACAGCAACAACAAATGGATTGCAGATAAGACACACAAACCATCACACCATGTAAAGGCCTAGCCTTATTGTTACGGAGACGGTATAGTAAGGACTGGGAAGAAATCTTTTTGAAACCTTTGGCTATGTTAGCAATGGGTTCGGTGCCGCATTTACACAGAACTCAACCAGCAAGATATTGCACAGGCTAGAGCACGGTAGAACACGCTACGAAATGCCTTCCGGTGCCATAAGTCTCTAGTGGCCTCAATAGGTATAGGATAAGTGCATTTCAACTCTGAAACATGAATTCGATCCGGCGAAACAAACCGAAAGACAGGAGTGTGAAGGGGAAATGGCTTGTCCAGTAAATCTAAAATGCTAACGTACCAAAACCTTATTTTTGTCCACTTTTTGACGGATCCTATCCATGCATTCTTGAAGCCGATCATTAAGTTGGTAAGTGCCTTTGAAATGACAAATTCCATACAAGAAATTCTTCAAAATCTTCCGGCCGCATGGGGTAAGATCTACTTCGGGGTGAAACTGAACACCGTAAATTTTTTTCTCGTCATTTGCAATACCTAGGAACAAATCAAATGAAATGATCAAGTTTATTAACGGCGACAAGGTTTACTCTAACCGGTAAAAGCTTGACATGTGACTAGGCAAGTGTTCGCATGGGAAGCGAACAGTTAGGGCACGCAGATAAGGACTTAACATACTCAGAAAAACCTAATAATGAAACATTTCGAGCGCTAACAAGTGCCAATGAAGTTGCACTTACACGAGAACCCGATGGATTCAAACATTACAAAAATGCATTGCTACGAAGAATCAAACACGACAGTGCATAGTCAAATGGATCTCTCCATGACTAGCGAGCTGATGAACAGCGATAAATGAAGGCGTATCTAGATTTATTTACAGACTGAAGTAAGAAGATATGAAACATTGGTTAGTGACTGATGGTCCAAAGTTGCTTTAATTTCGCTAGGTATAATCTTTTCGTTAGAAAGAACAGGGATGGCGTCTCTAGCACTACAGCTGGGACTCTAATTGTGTCGAGTGACGGAACGATGAACGTCCGAATAGTAACGAGACCTAGGGCAACTGATTAAAAGACGAGAGACAATTCCGTTGATCCCATACAGTTACAAGGTGTATGCAATAACGAAGGTGTCTGTTAAAGGTCCTCGGGAGTGACAGGAATGATTAGTGAGTGGTAAAGAACTGTAGGTTGAAATGGGTCAGCGCAATCAGAAACGGACGAACAGTTCCGCTGGGGGGAGAACAACCTGAGAGAACCAGATAACCATTGGAAAAGATGGTCGGTTAATGTGTTCTCCCGCCCCTCGGCCCTAGCGTTGAGTTGAGCCCCAATTGGGAAGTTAACCTGTTCATTACGTCGGCATCGAATATTGAACTACCTGACAGCAATTGGAAAGTTAAAAACCCGATTTCGCGAACGTGATGGGGGTGAGCTCGACACGATTCAGAACTTCTGAAACAGAAAGAGACACGTGACAGCAACCGACTTCTCTTATTGTTGCCGACGGACGGTAGTAACTCAGTGATAGTGAATTTAGTCACTGTTCAAGTATATAGGACGCCCGCGGGGCGCAGTTAGACTCATCATCATTATTGCACGTTATCAGAGGGTGAGAAACACGCCTCAGCTAATGTGCCGCAATACAAAAATGCTAAGACATTAAGCAATGTAGACTAAAAAACTATAAAAAGGTAACACAATGCTAATATCACATATGTGATCGTTGTTCGAAGGGGAAGCTAAAAGGAAAGGGAAGGTACAGAGCGGTTAGAATAAAAGCTTCCCACTATCATCCGCATCAAAATAAGGGCTTCCGATGCAGCGGAGCTGTACAATACTAGGGGCGTCCCTAGGTTGCGGACTAACGAACACCTTCCTGTCACGTTTCGTAGATGAGATAACTGGGCCTCAGTGGACAAGGAAATAGTACCTCAGACAGTTGGTGATGCTGAGATGGCTACCAGGTTTCTCATTAATTACCATAAGAGCTCATGCAACACGGTGTTAAAACCAATGTGAACGGCCATTAAGTCGCCGGCCACACATTTCAGCAAGTCATCTTTCTACACCTTAGCCAGGGATGAGAAACACCCCAGCTATTGTGCCACAATACAATTCAATGATGTTGTGGCAAAATAAACAAAACTTATTAATAAAAAATGCAGAAATGGAATCTTATCTTACTCTGTTTTGGAAATGGATAAACAAACTATATTTTGCGTGGCTAAGAAAAGCCGTACCCAAGAAGAAAAACCTCAAGAAATGTTCCAATCATTTCATGCTATCGCATAATCAGGAAGTCGAGTCACCGAAAAGAGTTCTTTGCAATAATTCTCACCAAGCCATTACAAATATGCTAGTGAAAGTTGAGTTGAAGGCTGCTGCTGTTGGATCGACACTGGTGGCAGGCTTCGCAGTCGATGTTACGACGCCAGTATCCGACATTGGGAATTGCCGCGGGGACAAGGCAATAGTTGGGTTTGTACGAGAGATTTCTGCTTGCAAAACCCAGGCTGGATCAGTCTGATAGCGATTGCTTTAGCCGTATTCAAGAAAAGCTTTCTGAGCGCTTTAGGACAACATAACAGCACGGAGTAGAAGGCTTTAAACGCATCTGCTATCCGGATTTTGTGTCCGCTTAGGAGTAAATGCTCCATGACAGCATTGCTGATGGTTGCAGCTATGCCACTTCGTAGAACCACGGGCGATGTTCTGCTACTTGTTTTGACAAACATTTGATCGTGTATCCAAGTTATCTTGTACTATAGATGAAAGTGAAATGACACACTTCGGCCGGTGGCCGAGTGAACTGCGCGTCTGATTTGCAACAATAAGGTCCCCGGTTCGAATCCGAGTGGGGACTGACGTCCTCGCGGTATTCTCCGCCCACGCGCGACTGATGGTGGTCGTGCGGCAGCGAAGCGCCGTTACGGCTTACAGCTGACAAAGCACGTATGATTTAGATTGGACCAGGAGTCTATCCTTGAGATACTGTGTGACAAAAGGTGCAGTCTGTGCAAGCACAGGCGGGTAGGTGATTGGGCCTTCTCTCCAGTAAGTCAAGAGCGATATCCCCTTTGAATGGAACTGAGAGCAACACGTCTTTGTTAGTACGGTCATGACGGTTTCCACGCGCACACAGAAAGTTGCGTGTTCTTTATAGACGGAACAAGCTATCCGATTTTTTGCAACATTCTAAAGAGATTACCTTTCTCGCCCCTCTGCATCTCAGAACAATGTATACTGGTGACCCAATAGTGTAAAAAACGAACCAAGTGAGTTTGTGCTGCAGATACCAAACTTAAAATGTGTGTATTGGGGTGTGTAATTCGAATAGCAGTTCAACTAGCCCCTGGTAACGATATATTCACTCTAGCAATCTTTCGCACTCAGGTGTAGAAATCAAACGTGAGATCAGAGTGTTGAAAATGCATAGGGCCGCAGGGCCAAACTGAATTCCCCCAGCCCCTTCAAATTCGGGGGAACTGCTCCTGTAGATGATTTACACGAATTACTAGTGGAAATGTACGAGCAGAACTCCCGACAGACTGGAGCCGCTCCGTCATAACCCCAATCTTCAGGGGAGGCTCTCGTTCGGAATGTGGCAATCAAAGAGGGATCAAAGTGATCTCAAATGCCTCTAAATCTCTTGCGCCTGTCATTCTCCACAGATTTACTGGCACTCGTGAAAGCCAAATTCGCCAGGACCAAGCCGCGGTTCGTAGAAGTCGGGGCTGCATCGACCACATCTTCACATTATGTCAGTTGTTGGAGCATCTCCGTGTTTATTGACGACCCAACGTAGTCGTGTTCCTAGGCCTCAAAGATGCTTTCGATTCGGTTGATCGATGTGCTCTTTGTGACTGTCGAATGAGGAAAGGTGTGCGCGATAAATATGTAAATGTCACGAGAGCGCTGTACGCGCATAGTTCGGGCAGAGTGAGGGTTTATGGCAAACTGTCACCGATCTTCAATACCTCTAGCGGTGTGAGACAAGATTGCCCGCTGTCACCCCTGCTCTTTAACTTCCCCATGGAGGAGATCATGGAAGCAGCGTTCGCTGGACACGAACTACAAGGTTTGAGGCTACTTCCTGGTGAGCGACTTCTTGACTTGGAGTATGCCGACGATAGTGCGCTTATCTGTGACAGCTCCCGAACGCGCCAAGCAGCATTAGATAACTCAGCTCTGGCTCTCAGTTGGTTCCGGCTATGCTTTCCACACTCGAAATGCTAAGTCATTCTCCAAGATTGGCAGGGACCTTACTCTTGCGCCGACGCTTGGCGAAGATCAGCTACAAGTCAGCCAGAAACTCAAGCATCTGGGCAGCTATATTAGCGCCCTTATGATCGAACATGATAATACGAACCGTATAGCAAAAGCGCCTTGAACCTTTGCTAGCCTCCGCCACCTGTGGTGCCGACTTGACATTACGGTCGCTCTGAAGGGCAGAGTTCATAATGCGGCCGTCCGTTCAACCTTCCTGTGCGGTTTTTAAACTTGGCCCATCAAGTCGACTGACACAAAGAGGCTAGCAACGTTCAATCATCGCTGCCTTCGCAGCTTAGCTCATGTCTGATGAGAGCACTCCGTGGGCAATGAATGTTTTCGGCGTCGCGTGTTTGGTGCAGGAAGAGCACCATTAGATCACGCACCAGGCTCTGATGGCTGGGACACGTGTTGCGCATGCTAGCACACCAACTCCCGCGACGTGCGTTGGTTGCGTGCGGGGGGTGCGGTTGAAAGAGGAGGATGGGAGACCAAGCGATGACTTGGTCAAGAGAAATGAAAACTCTCACTTCCAACTTGGTGCCGGTTGGTGTATCCCAAGTGCCTGGCTGTGGTTCCAAGGATGAAGAACACGTTTGGTTAGACACTGTAACAGACAAATCACAGTCTGTCTGATTTCACTAAAGCATGCCCAAAGTCACTATCTATTCGTTGCCAGGAATCCTATCAGATGAAGTTTTTACGGTTTGATTGATTGGACTATGGATCGTTTTGCTTTAAAGCACATCTGACTGAGTTGCCTACTCGGCTGTGTAACCGGTTGGACTTTAGTTAATTGTGCCGACATTTGGTGTTGTTTGGACGCAGCTTTACTTGGAGAACAGAACTGTTGTACGTTTGCGTGGACATTGTCAAGCACCGTAGCGGATTTCCGCCTTTGACCTTTGAATTGATCCGGGAGTCTTACGTGTTGCTTGAATCCACCAACGATTGGACGGTAAGAGTGCTTCAAAATCCAGGATTTCCATTTGTTTCCAAGTACTGACAAAAAGCGGCCATCGGTTTGGTCGGATTTGCTTGGGTTCGGTTTATTTGATACAGCAACATTATGAAGCACTCACCCATTGGGCTCACGTGCAGTGTGATAGAGTGCGAGGACGCAAGCCATCTGACCGTATCCATCAAATAAATGTCCACCTGTACGCTTTTCTATAAATCTGCACAACTCGCTTAAGCTAATTGTAGTTAATTTCGATAACATTTTCGTGTTTGTGTCATTTCCGTAAAATATACTTTCTGACC